GCTAGATACGAAGGGCACTGTAACATAGAATCTAACCTGATTTCTGCATTGGTCAAGCATTGGAGACCAGAGACATATGCATTCTATCTTCCGTGCAGAGAGTGCACGATTACGCTGGAGGATGTTTCCATGCACTTGGGGCTTCCTGTAGATGGAGATTTGCTTTCTGGGGCGGCGCACGATGACTGGCATTCATTGTGCCAGGAGTATCTTAGAGGTGTCCCGCCTAATTTTAACGGTGGTCGGATTACGTTAAATTGGTTGATGCAAATTTCAAGCATTTGAATCGCGGAGCCTCGGAGGAGCAAGTTAAAATGTATGCACGGGCTTGCATACTATAGTTGATAGGAGGGATCCTTATGCCGGACAAATCGCACAACTAAGTTCATTGTATGTGGTTGCGTCACCTCGTCGATTTTCATATGACTGGAACACTGAGTTGAGCTCGGTAGTTTTTGCGTTTCTCTATAGGGAAATGTGTCGAGCTACTGACCTTAGAAAAAATGCTATCGGCGGATGTCTCCTTCTGCTGCAGTCTTGGGCGTGGTATCGCATGTCCTTTTTATGTTCGGTTGTGAATAACTCGTTGATCTTCTCGCTATTATTGAGGCAATTACAATATTGATTTCGTATATTAATAATTTTATTTAGTATATAATAAGATTTATTTAATTGAATAGGTGGTCTACTGCAAAGAAAGATCATCGGGAGTTACCGGATGACTTAGAATCAATTAGGCTACTCATTGATCAGAAAGCTGGCACAGATGTATGTATTTAAATAACAAAATCTATTTTTAATTATCGTTTTATTATGAGATTATTATTTTGATAAGAATTATATATATTTGTTTTAATTTGAATGGGCTCCTTATTGTACTGAAGAGATGAGGATTTGCATCCCACACGACTTAAGGGGTCTATTAGATGTTTGAATGGTGGTGGTCCCTCTGATATGTTATGCGATTGTCGAGTGGCATCCCACTGATCGTATGCTCCGACAATTTGGTTTTGTACTATCAATTCCGGAAGCACCTAAAAATCTCGACGATTTTCATAGCACCGATAGACGCAACAAAAAAGATGTGGACTAGGTGCTGAAGCATTATGAGTGGGTCATGATATGAGAGGGTCGACGTGGGCGTCTTCCCCGTAGAGAACCCATTTATGTGGACCATTTGACGGTTGCATATGGTTATTACGAGTGGTTCAACAGGAACGGGCAACCGTTCCTACTTTCTGAGGAAGCACGAGGTGGGAGCATTCGTCGGTATCGACAAATACGTCCACTGTCACAACCCCATCGTCCCTCTACTCGTGGACGGACAACAACTGCTTCCGGTTCGTCCTCAGCTGCAGCACCGAAACCTTTACAGCAGCCACCGCCTACATCGTTGTACACTTCGTAGCTGTTTCAGATGGTTTCGCAGCTATATAAGATGTCACCACTTCCGTTTCCATAGGTTCTATGTTTGCAGATTCAACTTGTGGTTCATATGCTGGTTATTTGGCGAGCCCAGCTTAACCACCGATGGCCGCCGTACAGACACTTCCTGTACAGTTTTCTCACTCATCGATGTCGGTCTTTTCTCAGTTTTCCCAGTTTTCCCAGTTTTCTATGAGCGGTGGGATAATCAGTCATACACCTCCATGGTCATTATTCTATAGAGGTGGTACATCGTCATTCGTCTCTCATCAACAAAATGTATCTGCTCCTGATGATGATAATGATGATGAGAGTGAGGAGTCAAAACAAGTTATACGAAGAAATCCTCCTCGAGACAGACAACCACCACCTTGTGGAACACATTCAAGATGCATGCATCGATAGATTCATAAATTTATTTTTTTTAATTTAATTTTTATTAATTATTTACCTTTTATGACTTAATTTATTTTGTTTATTACTTAATTCAAGTGAACAATTTTATTATTTTGATTATTACTTAATTGAAGCGAATGGGTTTATTATTTAGTGAATTTTAATCCCTGTCTTGTATCATTTTCTTGTTTAATTAATCGATGATGATCAAATGATATTAACTTAAAGTAAATTTAAATTAAATTACAAAAATTATTCTTTCATAAACTATTCTTGACGTATGATCCCGCTTTCCAATTTTACAACCACAAAAAAATAATAGAAAATAATTAATACAATTATTTTTTTCAAATAATCATATATAAAATAAATATAATATATTAAAAATTACTTTACAACTAAAGATCGAACGAACTGGTGAAGCAAATATAGGAGTAATTGATGGGGTGATGTTTACGGTTGAGGGAGTCTTATTTATAGCCGAGGGGAAAGTTTAAAGGCCGAGAAATTCGGAACCAATAATAAAAGGCGCGGATGGTGATTCACGCCTTTCTGGCGCGTGTCATAATTGCAGAAAGGTGTGGATGATGATCCGCACCTTATGCTGATGTGGCGCCAGCCATCCGCGCCTTTCTGCAAAAGGTGCTAGATTAATAAAATGTTTTTGAAAGAGTGCCTCACAGGTAATTAAAACGTTTCAGTGTGATTTTTGGGTAAAAAGGCTTTAAATATATACCTTATATATATATATTGTATTTTTTTTAGAAAGTATATATTAGGGATGGGAACGGTAGTCGAATCCGATGAGTTTTGATTCGATTTGATTCTATAAGATCAAATTTTTAAAAACAATTGAGTTCTAATCGGGTTAAGTTAAGTTCAGATTTAAGGTGAAAAATATTTTATCCTACCAGACATGAAAAAAATGTAATTTTATTTTATATATTTTTATATATTTAGAGATAATTAAAATAAGACTCTCTTCATATATATATATATATTTAATTAGATCCTTATTTTTTATTAAATATAAATAATATTTTTTATAAATATATATTTTTAGTTCGACTCAAGTTGAGTTCTGTTTTTATCTCAAAAGAACGGATCAAATGGAAGGTATATAACTTTTAGATCGAGTTTGGATCAAATGGATGATGTATAATTAAGACTGGACTTTTCATTTTAGTTCGAAACAATCCCAACAGGCTCGAATCCTTTGATCGCTCCAACCCGTTCAAGTGAACTGTCCATCCATGCAAGCATTCCACCAACACAGAAGCTCAGTCATGGCAACCAGATTGCACCGAAATATAAAGCAAGAAATCAAATCTGATCCCTACTGCTTTCCTCAACTCCCACCTATTGATCAATCTTTCTGCTATAGCGGCAGCAGCCACGGATCCCACTTTTCTGTTAAAAATTCCCACGAACATTATTGCACTTTGGAGCCATCTTTTGCAATAGGCAGTTATACTGCCTACGATTCCTCATTAATTGTCGGTTTCTCACCAAATGGAAGCCCAATGTCACAGCAAGATTCCAAGTTGTGCCGATCTGACTTACATCACTCTCCTGATAATACCAATGGCTCTCCTATTAGTGGTTCCTGCATAACCGATGATGTAAGTGACTTGAGGGATAAGCTGAGAGAGCTGGAGACGGCGATGTTGGGGCCTGATTCTGATGTTATTGAAAGCACAACCTCACCAGAGATGGCCAGCTGGAGACTTGTAATGGATGCAATCTCCAGAGGGGACTTAAAGCAGGTCCTTGTCTCTTGTGCGAAAGCAATGTCGGATAATGATCTCTTGGTGGCACAGTGGTTAATGGATGAACTACGTCGAATGATGTCGGTTTCTGGTGAGCCAATTCAGAGGTTGGGAGCGTACATGTTGGAAGGGCTTGTGGCACGACTAACCTCCTCAGGGAGCTCAATCTATAAGTCTTTGCGATGCAAAGAATCAGAGAGTGCTGATCTACTATCTTACATGCACATTCTTTATGAGGTTTGCCCCTACTTAAAGTTCGGCTACATGTCTGCAAATGGAGCCATTGCAGAGGCCATGAAAGATGAAGATAAAGTTCACATTATCGATTTCCAAATAGCTCATTGGAGTCAGTGGGTCACTCTCATCCAAGCATTTGCTGCTAGGCCTGGTGGACCACCCCACATCCGCATAACTGGTATCGATGATTCCACATCTGCACATGCACGTGGAGGAGGCCTAAACATTGTGGGGAAGAGGCTGTCCAAGCTTGCAAAGTACTTTAATGTTCCATTTGAATTCCATGCTGCTGCCATGTCTGGTTGTGAGGTTCAGCGGGAACACCTTAAAGTTCGACCAGGAGAGGCTCTAGCTGTAAATTTTGCTTTCATGCGTCACCACATGCCTGATGAGAGCGTAAGTACTGAGAATCACCGTGACCGACTCTTGAGATTGGTTAAGATCCTGTCTCCAAAGGTTGCAACCCTTGTTGAGCAGGAATCAAACACAAACACTGCTCCATTCTTTACAAGGTTCCTGGAGACATTGAACTATTACACAGCCATGTTTGAATCAATTGATGTAACTCTCCCTCGGGAACACAAAGAGCAGATCAATGTTGAGCAGCAATGCCTGGCAAGTGATGTTGTTAACATAATAGCTTGTGAGGAGAGCGAGAGAGTGGAACGGCATGAGCTCTTGGGAAAGTGGAGGTCAAGGTTCAGAATGGCAGGGTTCACTCCTTATCCTTTAAGCTCATTAGTTAATGCCACCATAAAAACACTTCTTGAGAACTACTCTGATAGATATAGGCTTGAAGAGAGAGAGGGGGCTCTGTACCTTGGTTGGATGAACAGGGATTTGGTTGCTTCCTGTGCATGGAAATGATTTACATTTTTATCCTTTTTACACTCTTTAATGTTGTCCTCACACAAAGAACAGTGGACTTCAATCAGTGTTAATTTTAGGAGCCTGGGACACTTTGGTACAAAGTCCTAGAGCTTATAAGTGGGGTTTATTTTACCATGTATTTCCTTACAAAATCATAAGTTTGCCTCCACCTTTGCAGTCATCTCATTCCATTGTTTTCTTCAGTCTGCAAGCTGCAATAGAAGGCTTATGGACAACGGAGATAGAAGGTTAGCGCCATAAAACCAACCAATGAGAAAAATAACTGCAAGGATGCCCTCGATAAAGATTAGCAATAACACATTCCATATCAAATCTCACTGTCAAATAAAAATAACTGCACTTTTAATCTCGCATTATTTAACAGGTTAATAAAGTTTACACATGGTTTGCTAATATGGATAAGAAGTGCACCCTCAACTTCAATACCCCAAATAGATCCATTTTAATACACCGCAATTTGCGACTATAACTAACCATCTGCCCCACTCAGCTTTGAACGGGCTCTGCGCTTGGCAGTCGTTGCTCATCTAAATTACACTCTGAATGTGGAGTGGTATGGACCATCTTATCAATGCAAAAGGCATCATTTTCTGATTTGGTTTCCGATTTGCTACTTGGTTGCTCGTTTAATGTACGTTGAGAACTTGATGTACCACGAACAATTGTACAATGGTCAACTGCATCATTTTCCTTACTAGGATCGAACTTCCCACTCTTTTGCTTGTTCGATCCACTTTCAAGGCATAATACAGGTGTATCCATTGTACCAACACAAACAATATCGCTTACTTCCGACTTAGTTCTTGACTCACCATTCAAATTTTCACTTGATTTACTCTCGACTTTAAAATTAGGATGAACAATAATGTCGAGGCAGACGGTCCGACTTTCTTCTACCTTTGTGCTTGGTTTGTCACGATGAGATACTGAATGAACATTTACCCCCTCATAAGTAGTTACAACAGTCCTACTTGGAGGCAAATCATGGTCGTGTCTTCCGTCGTAAGTAGTTATAACCAATTTAGCATCATGAGAAGCCCTCTCAACATGTTTCTTGACGGGGCATCCAGCTGTTGAGCACCTATAATAGCTCCTACATCACAAGTGAGAATGGCATGTCAAATTAATACCAAAAGCCTCATCATGGATATATAGGTAAAGCAAAAAAAAAGCTTTCTAAGATCATAAAAGTATTAAGTACTATGCATTGACTACAATCTCAGCATTAGAGATGCAAAGACAGACACCTACAGCTGGAATAACACTCTGCTAATTACCATAGCAAATGAGCAGAGATAAAATGTAAATTAGATAATTTTAGGTGTTTCAATATGCATAAACAAAAATGAACTTAATACACACCTCGGATTTGGATTGCCTTTAACTAGTTTTTGCCCATATTTGCGCCAGCGGTACCCATCATTTACAATATCAACCTCACTTAGAGTCTTAATAACCTTATGTGATTCCCTGGCTGGCTTCTCCACTGGAGATGCATCAGCATTGCTATTCTCTTTCTTCCTATTTATAGTTGATGACTGTTAAACAAAGCTTAAGAGGATATAGTATACACGTGAGAAATGAACTAAGCCACCTTCGTTTTGAGCTAAGATGATCTTCATCACTGTCAGCAACATTCTGTATCTTATTTGATTTTGAAGATGTACCTTTAACATCTTCCCTGACAGCACTAACTAAAGCTTGAGAACCACCTGTTGGCTCTATTTGGCGAGGTGTTTGTGAATCCAATGACTCGTCTTCAAATATGAGGTCAGATATAAAACAGTATTTTATCTATATCATATCATACTAGTCGTAAATGAATAAGATGTTTTACTTACCTTTGACAACAATTGCAGATGAATTATCTGGTCGCTCTTCAACAACAGATACACCAATATCTACAGCTAGAGGAAGGCTCAGTGGCATTGGATGATCATGCTGACCAAAATACACAATGTCAACCATTTTCCCGTTGTGTGAATGTTCCAATTGCTTTTTCACTAGGCAGTTTGGATGTGTACATCTGTAATAACTTCTAATGAATTCATTTCCTTTAACAAGTTTCTGCCCATATTTACGCCAATTATATCCATCCTCCGATGGTTTCTCACGTACTACAAGACTTCTCCCCTCCATACCAGACAATGGAGAGGGAGTCAGTGATGTCATCTTGGTCATCATAGAGGGAGCATTTCCTAGTTTCTCCGATTGCGAAAGCAGGTTTTTCTCTGATTTAATTGAGAGGGCTTCTCCTCCTTGATCAGATTGTGGTGAGGGAACTTTACTATCAGAATGTTGCAATGCCTTCCTTCCAGCATCCGGGCTCTGTAATTTATCTTTATCAACTTCATCTCGTACACAATCCCCTGAAGAAACCATCTGAAGTAGAGAACCTCCTATCAGTTAAAGGTATTTAAAAAAAACCCTAGGTTCCATTAAATTATGCCCTGTTGCTAGCCCGATCATGGAAAAGGCATTTGAAAAACAATAAAGTGTACATGAATTAATGGCGATTTGATACTTCTGAAATGAACCAACTCAAGTGGAACAATCGTTAGTATTGAATTGCTTTCATAAGTGTAAAAAAACGTTGAGCACGACGGGAAATTCTTCAAAACGCCAAACAAACAATTCCTAATTCAAATAGTAATAGAACTATGGAATTCAAGAGTTCAAATTAAGAAAAACAAACAAAAATAACGTTCGTCCTTTTCTTTAACTAAAACAAACCACCACCAAATCACCTGGAAAAATCTAACTATAAGAACGAAACTTGAATTTGTTTTTCAAGTATTAGGATTTATCTCAAGCACTATGGTTTTCCGAACTCCGTCGCTCCTTTTCTTCGAATTTCTCAGCAACCAAACAGAGTGCAAAGAAATCAAAAACCACAAATTCAAGAATTACGCGGGGAAATGGTAAAGCCAATTCAATTCACTCAAGAACAAACAAAGTAGGTACATAAAATTAAAAAGAAGAAGAAAGACTGAACCAAGTAAATACAGTGGAAAAGAGAGAGAGACGAAAAAAAGGTTTACCTAAGCAAGTGTTTGCAGGAAACCTAGCAGTCGATGAAGTTGAAAGAGTGGATCAGAGACGTAGATCAGGCCGGTTAATGGCGATTAGATCGTGGAAGAGAAAGTTGGTTAGCTCAAGGGTGGAAGTAGAGTGGGGAAAGAGCGTTTCAGGTTTGTTATTCTGACGAAAGAAAAACATAAAAAAAAAGGTCAGGAAAGGAAGAATAGCGTTGAGACTACTATATTATACGGTCGCTAACACTCGAGTATTTATGCGTTCGCTTGTCTGGAGATGCTATTTAAATCTTATTTGGGTTACATACTATTCTATCCAGAAAAGTATACCTTATTTAATAATGTCATCATTTAAGTTTTTTTCTTAATTTATTCACTTAATTTTTATACCATCAGTCACATCACCCATTGTTATTAGGTAATAGTCATGTGACATAAATTAATTAATTGATGAGTTTTTAAAATAATATTTAAAAAAATAATTACAAAATTAAATTTATGGAGTGATCTCAATGGTTAAGAAGAGTATTGTTTTTTTAGAAGTCTTGAATAGGGGTGAGCATTCGATCGAGTCGAGTTGAATAAAAAAAAATTAAGTTATTCGAGTTGATGAGTCGTATTTTATAACTCAAACTTAACTTGAAATTTTTTCAAGTAGAATTTAAGAAATTTGAGTTGATTTATTTGAGTTTCTATGCTAATTTTATTATAATTATTTATAGTATTATGATAAGGATTAGTTCTAATTTTTTGATTTTCTCTAACCATATAAGATATATATATATATATATATATATTTCAAACTCTTTCACATTATAATGTTATTTAATATATCAAATACAATCTAAGATTATAAAATATATTCACAATATTATATATTTTAAAGAAAGTATTGTGAGGGTAAAATTTTGATGAGATAATAAAGGAGCTAAAGAATTTATAATTGCAGTTAAAAAATCAGATTGAGTAAAATGCAAAGTTAATGTACTAAATAAAAAAAAATTAATAAAAAAATAAGAATTGAAGTTACACAGTTATTCTATAGTTGTATATGATCATGTGGTTCAAATTTGATAAAAATAAATTTAAATAAAAGATGAATTGAAGAAATAAAAAAATTATAAATAATTAAGAGATTAAATTAAAAAATAAAAAACTTATTATCAAAAAGAGGAATTGAAAGTTATTGTAGTATGAAGAGTCTAGGCAAGAGTTCTAGAAGCAAGAGTTCTAGAATCATCTGTTGTAAGTAAGTATGAGTGGTTAGGCGATTACGTAACTGCATGGGTGTGCATGTTAAATAAGGAATGCTTCTTGTACAATCGATCTTGTGTCCTCTTCGTCAATAAAATAACAGTGTGCTTCATAAAATCACAACAAAAGTATATATTTATTCTATAATAGTTTAGGAGTATATGGTTTAAATTTGGTAAAAATATTCTTAAAATGAATGAGGAATTGAATGAATAATGAAATCAATGACTAAATCGTAAAATTATCAAAATACTTAATTAAATTTTTGATTTTTCGAGTAATTCGAAATTTCCTAATTTCAACTTGATTTTAACTTGAAAATTGAATCAATAATTCTAATTGGCTCGAATAAATCAAATAACTCGAAATTAAAAAAATAATTTTTCGAGTTGAATCGAGTTTTAGTCACTTTAATCTTGAGTTCAAACAACTGCATCTATAAGATATGTGTTATCAGTAGTTAAATTTTTTTTAAACAAATATTATATTGTAAATTGAAAGGCTGCAGCAGTAGACCGTTTAATTAAATTCAATCAAGTTATTTGTTATTAATATTTAATATAATGAATGATGTGACAGTTAACTAAAATCGTAAAATTACACATTTGATCATCAAAACCTACATGTTTTATCAATTTAATATTAATTTAATTCTCTAATCATATAGTGAGGAGAGATGCCAACATTTATTGGAAATATTTTTTTATAATATTCTTTCTTCCAACGAGATGATGAATCGTGACATCATCTGGTTAAGAGAAAATAATTAACAAAGAATTGGATGAGAAGAGAATCGATTATGCGTCTCAAGGGTCAAGAGAGGGCTGAGCGCACAATTACCACTGCGCCATGCAATTCAACCGTGATTTGACCAATACACTTCTGCAAATAACCTATATTTTAGTTACTACGAGAAAAAAAAATCAGCTGTTAAGGTATTTGAACCTAGACAAACTACATAATTAGGCAACACGACTAAAACAAATCTAATAATTGATTCAGATGTGGATTTTTTAATAAGACTAAAATAAAAGTACATTAAATATTTCTATAATTTTAAATTAAATGTAATATTTTTCTTTATATAAATTACATATCAATTTATCATAAAAATTCTAACATTTGATTATCAATCTTGTTGAATATAAAAATACCCAAATAAAATGTATAACCATTATCTTCAAGTTTCAACCATTTTAAATTAACCTATCCATTATTACTTAATAAGAACATTTTAGTTTTGAATTTGAAAAATGTTTTTTTAGAGTGCAAATTAATTATCATATGATGTGCTTATTTTATAATTTATAAACTTATAACTATTGGATAAAAAGTGTGCTTGAAAACTATTTTTCAACTCAAATGTAAGAGTTAAAATCATTGAATCAAAATCATGGGACAAAAAGAAATATTAATTTTAGTTTAAAAATATAAAAACCTTAAAGTTATTTATATTTATCTTGTATTAATTTGAGATTAAAGAATATATAATTTTTTTTCGCATGAGAACTAACTAATAAATTTTATTTTTGTTTTAGTGGTGTTGGTATAGTTTAATCATATAGAATGTTTAGGTTCAAGTCTTGAATAAGTTTTTTTTTCCTTTAGTTTTCTCGTAGTAGCCACAATATAGGTTATATATAAATTTGATTAAATCATTACAGAAGAGAATCGCCTGACCCAGTGGTTTTTCCGCGTTTATATTCACCCATTGGACATGGGTTAAATTCTCTCTTCACCCAATTCTTTGTTAGTTATTTTCTCTTAACCGGTTGGACGAAAAATATTATATTATATTAAATAAAAAAACCTCTCCAATAAAATGGTGACATGTGTCACTATATGGTTAGAGGATTAAATTTACTGAATTAAATTAAATTATGACTAAATTGATAGAATATGTAAGTTTTTAGGATCAAATGTGTAATTATACTATTTTGTTTAATTGCCATGTCATCACTTCTGTTAAATATAAATATCAAGTGGCTTGATTGAATACAATTAAATAATTAAATTGTTTGATCAACAAAACTAAAAGATCGATGGTAAAAATAAATAGGGTAAATAATTAAATTGTCATTGATATAGTTCAGCCTTTTCATTTATGCAGGGAGACAATGACGAAAAGGGCAGCTTGTTGGCAGGTTTTTATTTAATTGGTGAAAAAATAAGAGATTTATGGTCTTTCATAATTTTATTAAATTTATTCGAGTCGAATAAAATATTATCGGGTTTGAAACTTGATTTGAGGTTGCCAAATTGGGTAGCAGAGAAGCAAATAACTAATTACTATTTGATGGTCGAGATATATATCATCCTTGCTTCTGAGCTTTGCTTTTATAATCTAGGCCGCAAATGATCCTATTCCGAGATTAGCGAGGATTGGAGATATTTGGTCTGAGCTTAGGAGGAGGAAGAATAGGGTTGCTTGACACAAGCTGATATGGTTTCCTATGCATGTCCCTAAACATGTTGTGGTTGCTTGGTTTGTAATTCTCGACCGTCTTGCGACTAAGGATAGGTCGCGGAGAATAGGGGAAAATGTCGATAGTGGTTGCGTGTTGTGTGATGACGCGGGTGAATCTTGAAACCACATTTTCTTTGAATGTGCATTTTCGGTGAGAGTGTAGGATGCTATTCTTGGTCTTTATGGTTTGGATAGTTTGATTCTCTCGTGGGATCAAGAGTTGGACTGGGCGGTCTCCTATCTCAAAGGTAAGTCGTTAATTGTCCTGTTGCTTAAATTGGCTTGGAGTGCCTTTATTTACTGAATTTGGGAAGAGCGTAATAGGAGGTTATTTGGGGGTTTGGCTAGGAGCGAAGCTGAAATTTTTTTATTCTTTGAAATAGCTAATTTGTTTCAATCTTTATGGGAGGAAGGTTGATAGAACATATCCCATTAATGATAAATTTTGTATAGATTGGGGTCTGTTGGACTGAGTATCGAGTTTTTTGTTGATACTCTTGTCGTTTTGTAGCGGCTTGCCGCTTTTCTTTTGGATTTAATACATACATTTTATCCAAAAAAAAGGTGAGAAAAATAAACTTTTAAAAATCTAAGGGTCAAAAATTAGAAATTAACAAATTTGTTAACATGCCACGTTAATAATTTAACGCATATTAATATCTGAATGACTAGAATGTTATAACACAAAAATGTAAGTGATCAAAAATAATTTTTTCAAAAATGATGGCCAAAATTGAACAGACTAAAAACAAAAGGGACTATCAATATTGTTTACCCTTTAAAATAAATTGATGTCAATTTTGAATTAAATAAACTTTTTAAAATTAAACTGAACAAAAATAATATTTGAAAGACGTAACATGGCATTAACCTTTTTTTTTTTTATTAAAGTCAGTTAATCAAAAATCAAAATTGTAACCTAACAGCTTTGATTAATTAAAGTTTAAGATGTCAAATAAGAGAAGCGAACAAGTTTGAAGGTTAAACATATAATTAAGTCTAACAATAATGATCAAATTGTAAATATTTAAAACCGATTAGCCTGTGTTGTATTTTCTCTAACAATAATGATCGTAATTCTGGTAACATTGGATTCTCTCTATATGGTAAATGCTGGTTGCAAACAGATGAGAGACGAATCAACATTGCCATTATCCTTCGCCCCCATCCAGATTCTTTCCATCTATCTCAATATGATCTGCAAAAATGTGAAACAAGTTCAGCAGATATAATGGCAGCACCGAGGTTGGAACAGAAGTTCCTCTTTTTCTTTAATATTTTATACACAACGTATCAGTGAATACGGATAAGAAAAGAAGGAATCACAATCCGGAAGGTTTTAGGATAACAAAACAAAGTTTAATATTTACCTTAGAGTCAGAACACTAAACCTAAAATAAGGAAACAAGATTAAATAAAATAATCCAACCTACTCTTAAAAAAGGAAAC